AGTTTTACAAACATTATAACAAAAGTAATAGAGGTGCTTAAATTTGGTAGGTGCTTAAATTTGAGATTTTACGGTAAATGAGACTTAAAATAAACCAGAAATAATTCTTTTATCATATATTAAGACTTAAAATAAATCAGAAATAATTTATTAATACATTGAAATAAAATATAAAATAAATTAAAAATAATACTTTAATAAACTTAAAGTAAATTAGAAAAAATACTTTCATCATATATTAATTAATATAAGATTTAAAGTAAATTAAAAATAATTTATCAATATATTAAATTAATACAAACTTAAAGTAAATCAAAAATAATATTTAAATTATATATTAAATTAATATAAGATTAAAATAAATCAAAAATAATTTATTAAAATGATTTATTATAATAAAGTAAATAAAATTGTTTATAAATAATTTCATTTTGATAACTTTTCTAAATATTCAATATTATTTAGTAAAGAAAATATCAAATTATAAGATACTAAATTTTACTTAAAAAATCATGAATGTATAATATCAATTTATCATATGAAACCTTTATAATAGAAAGGAAAAAAATTGAAAAATTAAAAATTAAATTAACATTAAATCTGAATATATTTTAACCTAAAAATTATATTTAATATAAAAGTAAAATTAATTTTTTCTAATTATTTCTTCTTTTATATTACAAAGGTCCTATATTTTAGATTGATTTATATCAGTAAATTATTAAATTTCAATCTAATAAAATATAAAAAAATATTTAGCTATTAATCTGATTAATAGAAAATATCATTTATAAAAATAAATTAAATGTTTTTAATATAAATTTATGATTTAAAATACAAAATATCAGTTATATTATATTTTTTTTTGAATTTTATTTTATTTTAATATATTTTATCTGATTATGATAATCAGATATCAATTGACTATAAATAAGATCTCCTTCAAGTAAAATTATAATTTTAATTTAAACTGAAAATTTTAAATAATTTAAAAATTTTAATTAGAATAAAAAAATATTATTTTAATTAAATGATAAAATTATTATTTAATTAGAGTGATCAACTAATTAAATAATAAAAATATTATTTAATTAGAATGATTAAATATATTATTTCAATCAAATAATAAAATTTTGCTTAATCAAAATAATAAAATATATTATTTTAATTGAATAATAAAGTATTATTTAATTACAATAATCAAAATTAAATGATCAAAATATCATTTGATTAAGTATAATTATATTAAATAAATAATAAAAATATAATTTGGTTAGAAAAATAAAATATATCATTTTAAATAAATGATAAAAGTATTATTTTAATCAAATAATAAAATATTGTTTAATAATAATTAAATATATTATTTAATTAAATAATAAAGGTATTATTTAATTAAAATGATCAAAAAATATTAAATGATAAAATCATTATTTAATTGAAATGATTAAATCTTTATTTCAAATAAAAATAAATGATAAATTTTATTTTAATTATACCAAATCAAAATTTTCAGATAATTTAAAATTTTCAGTTTAGTTTAGATTTTAAACAATTTACAATTCAATTTAGATTCATACTTTAAATTGAACTAAATTATTTAAAGCTTTAACTGTAATTAATAAAAATATAATAAAATATATTATAATTATATGCAATATAAATTATCTTGTAAATGTTTAAATTAGATGTTAAATTTTCTAATTTTTTTCTCAATTTTTTATTATATTATTTATTATCGTTATTATAATTATTTACTGTATATAATAATTATATTTATTATAGGCAATGACGTAGGAGAAAATTAGTGTAACGTATATAGTGAAATATGGGGAGAAATTTCGCCGCCTAACATCGTCCCTGGTACGGGGTCAGTCAACATCCTTTTAGATTATATAGCACAAAAAAAAAAGGTCAAACGCGTTTAGCCGGTCCATTTTTCGTGTTTTAAAAACTCTTTGCTTTATTTATAAGATAAAATGGATTTGTTTGGTCCCGCGAATAAGCCAGAGATTAGAATTCAAGAACTAACCGGGGAACGTATCAGGTTTATACTTACAAACACAGATTTGAGGTAATAATGTAAAACATTTTCAAACGTTTTCAAAAGATGACTATCATTAATTTTAATTCTCTATTTGATTTTAGCATGGCAAACGCCTTGAGGCGTATAATGATATCCGAAGTTGCAACAATAGGTATATGAATGTCTGTTTTTACAAAATGGAATTTATTATTTTAATTGCTTGTTCATTTATTAGCTATTGATATGGTCCAATTCGATCTCAATACGTCTGTTTTGGCTGATGAATTTATTGCCCATAGGTTAGGATTAATACCATTAGATAGTACTGAGGCCGATAAAATCAAATATCCTCGGGTATGTATTATTCACTTTAATTTAATTTTTATTTTGAATCAAATTATTAATTGCTAACAATTTCAATATCATCATCTAACTCTTCTAAATTTTCTTTTTC